TGATATTGCAATGGCAGATACATGGCATTACACATTTTTCCAAACCCATGAAATGCCCAGCACCAAGAGTGAATCCTAATGTCAACTAAGGACTTTGATGATGATGTGTCCCCACAGGTGCATGGATTCTAGCAAATATATCACTGGTGGGGGTGTTGATACTTTGTATGTCTGGGCAGGGGGTATATGGAAAATCTCCATATGTTATGCTGAATTTTGCTATGAATCTAAACTGCTGTAAAAATGAAGTTTATTAAAAAATCAGGACTAGACATTATTCCTGAAACCATAGATTTTATATTCAAGGGAGAAATATAAAAAGATAAAGAAAAAAATTAGAATAGATTGCAACCTAGCAAGTATTGTGATACAAATAGGTACCACAGAACAGTGCTTCTCAAACTCTATGATGGACCAATTAAAAAAAATAAATCCAGTATCTATTAGGATGAGCAACCTCTTTGGTATGCTCACTTTTAAAAAAAAAAGATTTATTTATTTATTTAATACAACAACTGGGGTACAGGCCAGATGTGCAGGAGAGTGAAAGGATTCACCAGAGACAGAGCGGGGAACAGAACAGGTAGGCGACCAAAAACACTGCTGAGGGGAGCAGCGGGTGAGGCAGGAGAGGTCTGCTGCGCCATGTGGGACCCTCACCGGCCGGCTGGGATCGAACCAGCGCTGCAGAGGCTGCTGACAGCTTCACAGTGCAGCACTCAACTGCCTGTGCCACCAGGGGAAGCCCTTTAGTATGCTCACCTTTGAAAAGTTATTTGCAAACTTTCAAGTACTCTATACATATTAGTTGTTATTTGCCACTAATTTGTAATGGATTCTTTGTTAAATGAAGATACTTCTTCAAGCCACTGACCTCCTTCCTCTAAAGAACAATGAAATTGCAGTTATAAAATGCAGTAGTGTCCTCTTCAGAGATTGCTGTCTTACACTAATAGGCTGAAGTACATTACAAACAATGGCTCTGATCACAAAATCATCTTAATAGCTCACTTCTTCTCCAAGTAAAGTAGAAAGATGGCATTTGCTGGAGATAGAGCCTATAACCAATTTTTTTTTTCCTTTTTACCATTTTTTCTTCAAGGAAGCAAAGTTTCTCTCTTCACATTTTATATGTGTATGAAGAATACAGAAAAGTCCTCTTTGGAAGATGAATACTACAGTTATCTAGGCTTACCTAAAAATGCCTGACTATTGCATGTGAGGCTAATAGACTAGTCAAAACTCGCAAAATTAGTACACATTGCAAACAATAAGTCAGAGCAGGCCAAGAGTCTGAGCATTAGCAGTGGTAATATTCTGCACAGGGGCAAGTGCCATCATTTATTCCAATGGTAGTCTTCTCTGAGCGATACCCACAGTAGTAAAATATAGGCACTGTAGGATGGGTCCCCACCTGGCAGAAGGCGGGTGTCCACTATAGTTGTGGCTGAGAATACACATGTTCTCTTCTCACACCATAAAACTAGTGTTCCCTGAAAATTAGAGTAATGTCTGGTTTTTAAATTCAGAAATTAGATCCCCAAATAGGCTACTAAACCCACAATAAATCTGAAATGGCCCATGAAGAAAAACAAGTTGAGGCTCTCGTAAGCTAGATCAACGACCAAACGTGATCAGTTTTATAAATTAATTTCACTACATTTTGAATTAACAGATTAATAGGTTAATGGGCTAATCTAGAAACCTAAATAGTACCTAGTTTCATAGTTTCCATGGATACCATGTTCCAGTTACAACACGCTTTTATAGCCCACTCGTTTCTAAGTTGGGGACATTTCTGTGTACAAGATGCAGGTGACTCCCTTAGACCTCCAAGCACACACCCACCCTAAATAGTCCCTTTCTTCTCCTTCTCCTGATCCACCCTGTCCCCTTATCTACAGTCTCCCTGAGATGGGCAGTAACCCATACCCACACTGCCTCTTGTGGCTGGCACACCAAGGGGATTCCTTCAATGTGATTCTGTACAAAACGACTAGTTCCCCTGTGAACTGCTATTTCCGCTGGCTGTGGTGATACTACCAAATACTGTAGTTTCTTTGAAAAATGTCACACACCCTCAGGAGGAAGTGGGGTGTGGTGTTATAGCAGTGCAAGATGAGCATTTTGTTACTGGTATACCTGGGAGTGAGAGTCCACACTGTCATGTCTTGTGTTAACTGGTCATGTCGTTGTATTCACAGGCGAAAAGGGAGAAAGTTGAGTCCTGGCTTTCCAAACCTCCTCCTCTGATCCCTCTTGACAAGAGTGGCCCACTCCATTCTGAGGTCCCCAGGCTTCTTTAGAACAGGAGCCATGTCATGTTTTCTTGTCTAGTATAGCTTTCCACATGGAGGTGGGTTAAGCAAATACTCATTTAGCAATAACTTCATTTAATTAGCCAGTGGTTAAGTGTATTCTAGGTCATGTCAGATAAATCCCCTGAGCAAGGTGCCATTCATTTTAAGTAACTTGTATCAGGGAGAATTTCTAAAGATACTTTGGAAAAACCCTATGTGATAATAGCTATCTTTTCCACCAAGCACCATTATAAACATTTTCCCTTTATTAATTCATTCATCCTCACAACAACTGTATGAGGAGGTTTTAATATATCCCCCGTCTTGCAGATACAGTCACAAAGAATGTCACCTGTCCAAGACCATGCAGCTGGTAATGCTAGCACTGGCTTCCCCTGGCAGGAAGGATCCTTACCCAATTACATTAGGAAGATTATAAAACATCCTCTGTCTCTTTAGAGCCTCTGGGTTGATAGATGGCAGAGACACAGAAAAGTTATCTGTTTTTCCCAACTTTATGGAGGTATAAGTGACAGTTAAAATTGGGTCTATTTGAGATACACAATTTGATGGTCTGATATGTATATATGTTGCAAAATAATCACCACAATCAAGCACCTCACAGTTACATTTTTGCTTTTTGTATAGTGAAGATTATCTGTTAAGAATAAATTTTGACAGGGCCTCCCTGATGGCGCAGGTGGTTGAGCGCAGCGCTGTGAAGCTGTCTGCAGCCTCTGCAGTGCCGGTTCCATCCCGGCTGGCCACAGAGGGTACCCACATGGCGCAGCAGACCTCTCCTGTCTCGCCTGCTGCTCCCCTCAGCATTGTATTTTAGTCAGTCCACCTGTTCGGTTCCCCACTCTGTCTCTGGTGAATCCTCTCACCCTCCCACACATCTGGCCTGCACCCCAGTTCTTGTATAAAAATAAATAAATCTTTAAAAAAAGAATAAATTTTGACATAGGAACAGAACCACAAATTAAAGTCACTTCCTATATACAAGCAGCATCTTTGACCCAGTGATGATAGTTAACTATGTTTAGAAAATGGTGGCAGGAGACCAAGTCCCTTCAGCTTTATGTGAAGCAATTAGCTTTTTGTAGACATCAGCCACAAGATCCTCACTGATCCCAGCCCGCTATTTTACTGCACGAGTGGAGGAAACACAGAGGTGAGACATCCACCTGGATGACATCCTGGGAAAAATCACCCACATCAGCAGAGTTGACCTCCCTTCCAAAGACAGCTTAAGTTGTTGCAAGAAACTTCAACTCCACATATTTTACCCATTTTTTAACTGTTCAAACTATAGTAATGGGGTGAAAAGATCATTAAACCACAGGCACTGACAAAGAGAGACATCAATTAGTAACTAAAGTAATTAAGCAAGTAGGTAACATGGAGGCTGCCAAGAAAACCTATGCCCATGGTCGTAACAGGTCCTTTGTAATTAGGAACTTCTAGAACAGATGGAAACAATCTCTGGGGAAATCTTCATGCTTTTATTTCCTCCCTGACCTAACCTTAAATGGCATTTTCTACCAAGAAATAATTGACTAGTTTGGGTAGAGGCACTTAGCAACGAATATTGCCCTACACATTCTACCACTTATTAGCTGTGTGACCCTTCAACAAGCCACTTACCCACGCAAGCCTCCAAGCCTCGGATTTCTTATCTGTCTAATGGAGCTAATTATACCTACCTCAAGGGCTAGGCGAGATGGAGTAATATAAACTCTATAAAGCCTTGCACAGTTTTGTGAGTTGCAGGGGGCCCAGTAACTAACCCTGCTAGGCTGTTTATGCTTGAAACAAATAGCCAGATCAGGAGTGAGGGAGATAGAAAAAAATATATACTTGATTAGTAAAGGTAATTAAATATAGGAGATTAAATGCTGGCTTGGTGGATATGGCTAAGGCTTTGAAGGAAATCGTTTGCTCATTGTGCACAGTGTCATAAGCAATGCTGGACAATAGCCGGTCTCCAGCACCCACAGGGACCGGCCCCACCCCTCATGGTACAGGAGACAAGAGGGCAGATGAGGTTTCTCAAAGTTGGCAGAACCCTCCCAAAATGGGTTGGGCAGGCACAATTTCTTCTTCTAAATCTCATCCATGCCATAAATCACTCCAGTTCCTATAGGGCGCAGGAAAGAATTTCTGAATGACACAGTACGTATGAGGTCCTTGAAAATGAGAAAGATAATTGAAGGATGGCCATTGTGTGAGGATGGAATGGAACAGCCACTCCAAATAGGAGGCATGGTGTAAACAGAACCATAGAGAGGGGTAGTTGTGAGGGACAGAGCATTCGGGGAACTGAGAAGTAGAGACTGGACTCCTGCTGAGATTCATGCTCTGTGGGAAAAGCAAGTTGAAGCCAACATCTGAGATTTTCAAATAACAAGCTAAGAAGTCACAGTTTAATTCAATGAGGACTGGAACAGTTTTCTCTAGTATTTGTGTAATTTGATCAAAGCTATGTTTTAGGGGGACTATTCATGTCACACATTTAAATTAGTGCTAGAATATTAATAATGTCATCCAGGTGCTTTATTTTCTGTACTTCAATTACTTAATTTCTATCCTATTTTTCAATTTTTTGGTGGATATACAGGTGTATTACATTAGTCTGCCTGGGCTGCCATAGGGAAACCCAAAGACAGTGATTTAAACAGCAGAAATTTATTTTCTCACATTCTGGAGGCTGGTAGCACAAGATCAAGGTGTGGCTGGGGTTGGTTTCTGATGAGGGCTCTCTTCCTGGCTTGTAAGTGGCCCCTTCCCACTGAGTTCTCACCTGAGAAAGTGGGGCCTGGGGGAAAGAAAAGGAGAGAAACAGGGTGCTCTCTGGTATTTCCTCTTCTTAGAATACCAGTTTATCAGAGTAGGTCCCCACCCATATGACCTCATTTAACCTGAATCACCTCCCCCAAAAACCCCATCACCAAATACAGTCACAGTGGGGCCTAGGGCCTCAGAATATGAATTTGCGGGAACACAGTTAAGTCCATAAGAGGGGAAATCTTATTTATGTTTGCAGGTAGGAGGGCAGTACTAGCTCTATCAAGACATTTTCCTTACTAGTTTTAACACCTGCTTAAATATAAGTATTTGTTTCTTTTGTCATTGTGGCACAGATGTAGGGGTCATTTTAGACTATTATCTTCAGTTCATACTTATTATCTTAGTTCACTTTGAGACCATGCTTGTGGGTATGAGACCAGTGTTTAATTTGAATCTTTTTATTATGTTCCTTTGTAGAAGCAGTAGGATAAAATACTCCTCTTGAATTTTGCCTGAACCAATGCATTTGGAAACCATTATTTTTTTTTTCTCAGTCCCAAGTTTGCTATTAATTCATTTATGTTCTCGCTTCTATGTGTTAGGGGCTTTGCTATCACAATGACTACTCTTGTTTCTGTAAGACCCTCCTACTCACTGAGACATTGACAAAGTATGGCACTACAAAATATCACCCCAGATTTTTTTTAATAAAGAAGTATGCCAATTCTTATTGCTGCAAAGCTGAAAATTATTTTCAGGTAATGAGAATATATAGCATTTTTATATGCTTTCTATCTCCATGGACCTTTTCCAAATCAGGTTTTGTTTTGCGGTGGCAATCCTTACCACCACAGTGAAAGCATTTGGCAGGTATGAGTTGAGGTAGATAAACAGGTGAGTCAGGTCCCAGGAACCAAGAGACCAAAGTCTCCATTAAAAGTACATGATCTGCACGCAGCTGGGCAGTTACACTTGACCATCTCCCTGTGACACAACTGTATGCTAAATGAGATCACACTTAGAGGTGAAAATATCGAGCTGTAAGAGTAAAGATTCTCTACACATTTAAAGTATGATGATGTTATTTCACAGCTGGGATAGCAAAAGCATGAAGATTGGATGGATGTACTGACAGCACCTTGCGATCACTGCCAGCATCAAGGTGACTCCAGCAGAGCGGAATGAGTGCTTAGGAAAGACTGATGTGGGGTTTTATGGCAACTTGGTGTAGCACACAGAGGAAGGCCACTTAATTCAGCCCAGATAGATTCCTAAAAGACCATTCATACTTTCTGCCTGCCTCTTTTTAGCACAAACTAATAAAGTCAATAAGGTCCATTAGAAAATACATCTCGGTTGCAATAGTAATAATAATAACTTTTTTTGAGAGTTAACTATGTGCCAACCCAATTCTAAGCACCTTACATGAATTTGCTCGCTTCATCCTTGCAGTCCTTTGAGACAAGTAATAGTATTAGCACCATTTTCCTAATGAGAAAACAGGCTTAGAGAGGTTCAACAACTCTAGCAGTTGTGTCTGCAGTGGAATCGATCCTCTGCCTGTAACAATGCCTGGGATTTTTTTCTTTATATTAGCTCCCTTTATAATTGTCTACCACTTAATTGGACCACAATAAAGCCTTACTAGTAAAAGAAATGTGTGGAGATTAAGAGATTATAGATAATGTTTTTGAAAATTAAGCTCCTAGCGAAAAAATGCATTGAGAATTTGCTACATATCAGAGAGGGGCTTTCGCTGGAGGTGCCAGGATGATTTAGACATGGTCCCCGCCCACAGAACCCGCAGTCTTGTCTGGGAAAACCCACATGAACCAATAAGCTTAATAAAGTGTTATAGGGAAGTACAGCCTGGTGAATACCAGTGCTTAGTCTCCTCCTCCATCCCACAAGCTGACTGCAATGTCCCAAAGAATGTGATAACAGAGAAAGAAGGTCCTTGATCAGAACTAGGGTTTAGGGAAGTAAGGCACTCACTCTCGTGGAGTCGGCTAAATGCACACAGGTGAGACCAGAGGGAGTTACTCATACCCCTCTATAATTTGAGTTACTCATACCCCTCCTTCTGAGTAGATGTGCTACCTAAAAGTTAAGGAAGAGAAACCCTTCCTCAACCCATTGCCCTTATGGGCAAAGAGCTGGAGACAAAGACAGGGCATAGGAGTGATAGCATCTACCCCACTGTTGACTTTAGTAGGGCAAAGGTAAGGCATGTAAATATGACAGATGCTGTCTCCCAGGGTAGCCAGAGAGCCTTGTGGGTCTGGAGGGCAGAGTAAATTCCACCAAGATGTGCTGGAGAGAGGCTGTTCTGGAAGGGGAGGGAAGTAAAGACTTCGAGAGGAGGTCCAGACTGAGCAGGAACTGGAAAGATGAGAAAGTGGCAGGGAGGTGGGGGGCGGGGGGGGGGGGGGGGGGGGGGGCGGGGAGAGCTGGTAGAGGATGGAATGAAACAGGAGGGCATTCCAGGGGAAGGAGCCTGACACTAGCAGCCTGGAGCTATGGGATAGCACAAGCTGAAGAAGTGGCAGTAGTCCTGCACAATCTTCACAAGATCCTACGGGCTGCAGCATGAGATCTGCCTGGGAATCAGGGGTGCCCAGGACTGGATACAAAGAAAGAAACGGGGTAAGCTGCCAGCAAGAAGCCATGCAGATGGACCTAAGGCAGCAGTGAAGGCCGGAGGGGTACAGGGTACAAGGCAGGAAAGAAACACATTGGTGTGGGGCTTGAGGGACGGTGCTGAGCTGAGAATCACGGCACCAGTGAGTGAGTCACTGAACTACAAGAGGCAGATTTGGAAGCAGGTAGTAAGTTCTATTTGGATCTTGTAGTGAGAGTGTCCTGGAGTTGTCCAGCAGAGAACTGAATGTGTGATTTATTACTCAGATAAGAGGTCTATGGAGGGATAGAACCTGTGTGTCAGTAATAGCCTTACAACAAACAGTTGTTTGTTAAGAGGTGAAGCTACCATGAAAGCAAGGAAAAATGAAATTTGTGAAATTTATACTCCACAGAGACGCTGGGGAGGACAGGCCTGATAGATGCTATTCCAGGGAGTGTATTTTTGTACACAAGCAATTCCCCTTTCTATTTTAGCACCCAGGGAAATCCCCCTTCTTCCTTACCATCAGCTCTGAGCACAAAAAGCCAACCCACAAGACCTTTCATGTTAACTTCATTCTTGTATGCTTATTACAAATCTTCTTACCTCGGGACATGCGTACATATGTGTACACACACAATTATACATGTATGTGTGTATTCAAATGGATTATAAAAATTCATACTCCAAACAGCATTGTATAAAATTATGATTAATGTTGTACCTGCCAGATTAGGTAGGAATATGTTTTAAAATATCGCTAATTGCACAGATAGGAAATTATTATTGTGTTTTATTTTATATTTGACATTTCAAACTTTTTAATAAAAATTAAATATGAATTGATGCTCAAAGAAAATGTATTATCAAATTATAATGTTATTTTTCTCTATTTGTGCTAAAATGGAAACTTTCTGAAGAGCTTAACTGCTACAAAGTATAAGGGTAAAGTTGTTTTTAAGGTTTTGATCATTTCCTTTTTGTATATTGAAGACATTCTTGATTAAGATTTCAATTTAGGGGCCTCCCTGGTGGCACAAGGGGTTAAGTGTCAGCATTACAAAGCAATCCACAGCTACTGTAGCATGAGTTCAATCCCTGGCCAGGGAGCTGACCCACATGGCACAGCAGACCTCTCCTGTCTCTCCTGCTGCTCCCCTCAGCAGAGTAGTTCAGTAGACCTGCCTGTTCTGCTCCCCACTCTGTCTCTGGTGAATCCTCTCACCCCCCAACCCGTACCTCTGCTCTACACCCCACCTCTTCTCTTGTATAAATAAACAAATAAATCTTTAAAAAAAAAGATTTCAATTTAGAATTTTATTATGTGAATTCCCAATTTGCTAAAGCATATTCTTTGTATTTATTTCTATAACCCCTAGATATATAACCCATGCCTATAAATGCCAATAGCATTTTTTTTTCATTTTTGGTCTTCAAATTATCTTACAGTAAAACTGACTATTTTGGAATGCATGATTCTGGGAATTTAAGTCTAGGCTTCTATGACCACTACCACCATCAGGCTATAAAGCAGTTCAGTCTTTCCCCAAAACTTGTTCAAGCTTTGTAGTCATACCTGCCTGCTACCCATACCACTGGTAACCACTGATTTCATTTTCTTAGCTAGTTTTGTCTTTTCAAGAATGTCAGATAAGTTGCGATTATATAGTAACTTCTTTTATTTGGCAGTTCTTAAGTTGCTCACAATGCTGCCTGTTTTTCCATGTAACTAGCTGCAAATATTGTTTATGTGTGTGTAGTCTGTGTCAATGCCAATTAATTATTGGGTCATAAGACTAATTCTTTATAATTTGCATATGCTTATTATAGAGTAATGTTGTTAACTTATTGTCTGTTGTATTTTCCATAGATACTTTCTCCTGTTAGGTCTTTGCCTTTAAATGTACAAAACCTTACAAGTAATATCATTTGTTCAGTAATATGGCATTATTCTAGTGACCACTGAGATTTTTTTTTTTTAGTTGTGAAAAGCTGTTTATCACAGTATTGTTTTACATGGAAAAACTGGAAACAGTCTGTGTAACTCTAGACCTTTTATTAAAGCAGATCATGGAGTTGTCCCTCAATAGAATATCAACACAAGAATTAATGGATGTTTACAAAGATGCACAATTTTTATGGTAAAATATTAAATTAAAAAGCCAAATAACCTCATGCATAAAGTATGAGCACAGCACATAAAACAAGAACACAAAACCCATTAATTTTATGATTAGAGAAAATACATCAAAGTAGAAATAGCAGGTTGCTTTTATTGGTGGAACTATGAGATATTTTACTAATTTTGCATATTTTCTTCATTTTTCACAATGATCACCTATTACTATTACAGGAGAGGGAAAAGTCTGTATTTTAGGCGTAAAATGCTACCTTTTGCCTTAAAA